ATGTCAAGGCCATGTGGCGCTTTTGAAAAAAAAAAAAAAAAAAAAATCCCTTTGAAATTTCAGAGGGGTGTTGGTGCTGGGGATAATTCGTAGAAAGCGCCCACGGCAAAACCTTTTTGGTTTTGGGCGCCCAAAACTCGGCTGTTTGGTACTACCGGCACAAAGACTTCCATGTGGGGTGCTACAGGCCCCAGGGGTCCCTCCAACGGCCCTACCGGCTCATGAATCTCACGCATAACAGCGCCATATTCATTTTTATGTGAAAGAGGCCGAGAGTGGTACCCCAGAAGTATAGAATGAGGCCCACGTACGGTATTTTGAAAAAGAAGGGCCATCCCCCCACATCTTTTGCGGGCGATTTTGCTAGGATTTTAATATATACGAGAGCTTTCAGCCTTTCAGGGGTACAAATTTTCCTAAAACGAGAATAGAGTTATGAAAATCAACGAATAGGAAGAAAAGAAGACGAAAAAAGAAAAATCAGGAACGTAGATTGCGTGCTGATCATTTTGTTGCGGAAAACGAAAATTTATTCCCGGCGGTGAATTTCATTTACTCGTCTACTACAGTCTTCCCCCGAATACAACGTACGGTCATTATAGCTGAATTTAGACCGAAAGATACGCCAAATTCAGCTATAATGACCGTACGTTGTATTCGGGGGAAGACTGTAGCTGGGCGTTCAAGCACAAGCGAGTACAAAGGCTAAGTGTGTCTGTTCGTTAAAAAAAACAGCTGAGAGACAGTGGCCCCATGAGATCGAGAACCAGCGAGCGCAAACAGAAGAAAGAAAGGCGCATACCAATTGGTGGGAAGAGCAAAGCATACACTCCAAGGTAACCAACAACTGGCGCTACGCACAGACGCACTCCAATCATGACTGTGGGTGGGGGGACACGCAAACACGTTGATACAGGCGAAAAATGCACCGATTTCAAGAAATTGCACACAGGCAGGAATTCATTGGAAAAGACGATTCTTCTTTACGAGAAGAGATCCGTTTCACTCTAATAATATCCCACTTCGTGCCTCCGCGGTCGAGATACCCCCTCTGAATTGAACTGCGAAATTCAGCTGCAACCCTGAGCGCCTGCTGTGGGTGTCTACCCGCACTGTCTCTGAAGATGTGTGTCACACACTAACACATGGAGCAAGCGAGCTAGCGAACAAAAAAAACAGAGAGAGAGAGAGAGAGAGAGAGAGAGAGAGAGAGAGAGAGAGAGAGAGAGAGAGCGCTAAGTAGCCTGCCTTGTTGTTCGTTACGGCCAGCTGCTTCATCTTTACGCAACAGTTCTCGCGCTCGGCTTGGGGTCTTCCCCACCACCGGAAGTGCTACATGCCAGCATATTCTTTTCCAGGCGTAGAAATTACATGACGTGGAAACTCGCTCGCCTGCCAGACATTGAGTACGTACTCTATATATAATTAYAATGATCGTTGACTGACCAGTTCCACAACTGGCTAGGCTTCCCATTGAGCTCCATCAGCAAAGTGCTCTCGGACACTCACACACGTCCGATCAACTGTGTGAGTGATGTCGGCAGGCAGTTCTTAGCTGACCGCGCGCCCCTGACAATGCAGCTGCTGACCGATAGATAGATTCATCCACTCATCTGCAAGTTCATCCCCTCCCGGTCGCTTATTCTGCTTCTCTCAAAGTGGCTTGCGGATGTCGAACGACCGCCCTCCCTGTTGTTGACGCCTGGGTAAATCAGCTTAGGGCATGCTCACACTACGGCTTTTTCTGAACTGGATCCCGCTGCATTTGCCGTCAGATGCTCCAGAAACGCTTCGGTACGAGTATGCCCTTAGCACTTCTTCCAGCGCAGAACAAATTGAAGGCTGACATCGGTGATCGAGCTCGGGGGTGGAGGCACTCTTGCCTGGAACTTTATAATGAACAGCACCGAATCACTGCTACACGGTGGATAGATAAAGGTGTTGAACTGCTCGGTGAACTCAAAGTTGCCTTCCACGGGAGGAGGCAGGTTGCGCACGACTCTGACGCTCTCTGGAATACCGGACAAGGAGTACTCGGTAGCCAGTGAGGCCTTGGCGCCTTGCTCGAACTGGGCGTACCCTCGGAATGTCACTCTCTCCAGAGTAAACACGAACCCAGTAGGATAGCTCAGGCGGAATTCCAGTTGGCAGTTTTTCCGCCGGTGGCGTCGACCTTCTGGGGCGTCCGAGCTGAAAATGACAGTGAGCATCGGTTCATCGAAGGAGACACTTCCAGGAGGGCAGCCAGAGCCAGAATAGGTGAAGCTTTCGATCTGTACCGTACCAGGTGGTGGACTTTGAGCAAGTCCAGCAACGGCAAGGTGGAGAAGCCCCAGCAACAGCGGGACCACCATCGCCGCCATCGTAGACACGGACTGGAAACGCCTGTGCCTGATGCTCTCCGTCCTCGCCTTTCGCCTCACCTTGCTATTGTCTCTGCGCGCCCAGCAACAGACGAGCTGTTCCGGCGATGGCAGCATATAACCCAACCCCCCACTTCGCCGCTCCTAGAGCTGTTGGCCTGGAGTCGCTCGCTGCCCGAGCTCCCTCTCCGCGGCTGACATGCCGTGGAAGAAGAGAGAGCGCACGCCACTTCTCGCGCCTCCTCCCGCCTGCGATCCGCAAAGACCACCACGATGACTACGCAGATCGCAGCGGACTGTACCTAGAGTGAGTGCCCCCTTATACACAGCCCGAGGTGAAGTTTGCCTGTGTCCCCCGAGAGCACAGGGCATCAAGATCACAAAAAAGCATGCGACTGCTGTAATAAAGGGAGATGCTGGTCCGACAGCCACCTTGGGAGGGTGTGTTATGTTCAGGGAGAAACGCAGTCTACAGGCGTACCCCCTATGGCAATGCTGTGGAGAAGATATGCCGATCAAATAAATCTAGCGGAAGAGAAACTGGAAAGCGGACCCAATTCCACGTGTCGGGTGTCGAAACGAGAAAAACGAGGACGGTTGGGCCTCGCTCCACTACTCTCGACATGCACAAAAGACAAAATTCATGGCGGTGTGTCTCTTCAAGTTGTAGCGGAATATTCACTCTCGTTTTGCACATTTCGAGAGTAGTGGAGCCAGGCTTAAAGGACTGCTGCCTCTTCTGCTCCTTGTCCATTTCGGATACCATCCAGAAGGAGTGGGTGCATGATCTGCACGTGGATGGCACGTGGATGGTATCCGAAAGGGACAAGGAGCAGCGGGCCTAGCTCAGTTGGTAAGGCGCAGAAGTTGCATTCAGGAGGACGTGGGTTCAATCCCCACTGTCCTCACGTACGTGCCTGGGCAAGCTTGGTGTTCTACCAGCTAGAGATAACCCGTTGGCACCCCAAGCCAGCATTGGCAGGACCTTGGCTGATGTTGTTGACTGCTATGCAGCGACAATATTGGCCATTAGACACCTCCATGTGGGGTTGGGGGGGGGTAGGGGGAGGTGCAGTGACTGGCCAACTCTCGTCGCTAGCACCGCCTATTTCCCCCATAGGCAATGCCTGCCCACCGCTCGTTAGTGTGATGAGGGGCCCACCGCTCGTTAGTGTGATGAGGGACTGGTACAGCCTTGCTCTCGCACCACAGCTGTGGTGCAAACCTACCCCGCGTGGGCTCGGGAGAGATCCGGGTTGGTTGGTGTTCCCCCATGCTATAAATAGACTAGTGAGAGGATGAGATAGATGCGTACTATAAACCTACCCCGAGAGGCTAAGAAAAATGAAATAGATAAGGGAAGAATATGGATTACCTTTAAAAAAAAAAGAAAAAAAAAGAAGAGGCATTCCTTTAAGCCTGGCTGCACTACTCTCGAAATGTGCAGAACGAGAGTCAATCTTCCGCTACAACTTGGAGAGACACACCGGCATAATATATGTCTTCTGTGCATGTCGAGAGTAGTGGAGCGAGGCCTAACCGTCCTCGTTTTTCTCTTTTCGACACCCGACACTTGGAATTGGGCCGGCTTTCCAGTTTCTCTTCCAACCGTCCTCGTTTTTACTCTTTTTTCGACACCCTACACGTGGAATTGGGCCCGCTTTCGGGTTTCCCTTCCACTAAATTTATTTGATCCCCCCTTTCGGGTTTCCCTTCCACTAAATTTATTTGATCGGCATGTCTTCTCCGCTTTCTTCTTCTTCTTTTTTTTTTTTTTTTTGAAGTGTAAATTTGTCTGGTGCCCCTGTAATTTGCATTATTTCACTTCGCGCCCCTCCAACGGCCGATGTACCCTGTAGTGTCATTATTTCACGTCGCGCCCCTCGGACGGCCGATTTACCCTGTCGCGCTCCTCTTGCACAAGTTTGGCGACACACTGGTTGGAGTGCTGGCTGGAGCAGCGCTGCTGTCGAAGGAGCAAGGACACGGAGGAGGAAGAAGAGCAGGAGGAAGGGGGAGCGCCAGAGGTACTTACCTGGCTATGGTGGCAGCCATCTTCTTCATCTTGGTGGGCGCTGCAGCAGGAAGGTCCCCGTTGGGGGAGAGCTACACCAAGAAGCTTCGACGCAGTGTCAGGCGTGGCGGCCTGAGCTAGAGCAGCCATAGCTGCTTTGGGTTGTCCTTTGGGCATCAGGGCAAGGCCCAGTAGTCCGCCCGCCATAGCCTCGGCCTATGTGAGTGAAGAGTGTGGGAGGCGGCCATGGCTATGGTGGACCGCAAGTGATACCTGCAGTGGAAGAGGAACTCGGACATTGATTCTGGATCAGCCATTCAACATTGTACTATTATTTGAGGCTGGGCTCTACGCCCGGCCTGGAGATAAAGAGGCCTGCTTGCCTCTTGGGTGGTGACTTCCAGGCTGCTCGGCAAGCTACCGGTACCTCCTCCCTTTCGGAGGGAAACATCATTGCAGACTCTGATATTGCCCGTACAGGCCCTAGACTCAGGTCCTCGCCACACCACTCTTGAAAACTCGTTTTCAAGAGTTGGTGCATCGCCACACAGACTCTCGAAACTTGGGGCAGTCAAGGGCTGTCAAAGCAGTTCTTGAAACCCTTTCAAGTGCAGCTCTCGAAAGATGGGAAACCCCAGCCTGCAACTTGTGCGTTTTCAAGCGTCCTCGACCGAACCCTTGAGGGACTTCCGATTTTCGAGAGTTGTCAGGCCGTTATCCTGATGCCATTCGGAAAAAACAAAGCTGTACGACTGTCGTTTTTCATCGGTTCTCCAACACTATCGCCCTTTCGAGATTGCTGTGTGGCGAGGGGCCAGAAACTCTTAAAAACCCAACTCTTGAGAACGTCTGACAGCTCTTGAAAAAATTCCCTGTTTCAAGAGTGGTGTGGTGAGGCCCTCAGACTGGTTGGACTGGTACCCGCCTAGACCTAGCCTACAACTACTGGGCCTCTAAAAATGCCACTTTCGTCTCCTTCTGCTCGACCTCCAGTAACCAGCACATCTACCGCTTCAGGGTGCGGTACCGGCCTACCTGCCACTTGAGTGTTTCCCCGCTGCTTCAAGTGCTGTGGGCCTCTTTCCCCACCACTTGAGTATTTTCCCTCGCTGCCATCCTCAATGCCATGGCCACAGGTAAGTACCGCCCCAGAGGGCCCAACATAGAACAAGTGCCCTTACGGGTCACACACACACTCAAGCCAACCACCACTCAGACAGACGTGCAGACCAGCAGACCAGCATGCGTGCAGAGACACAGACATGCACACACAGACTTAGTAGCAAGCGGGAAACTTAGCAAGGCATTCAGTCCATGAGCAAAACTCAGAAATCAGCTGTGTCTCAGTCCGTGTTTACTCGGGTCATCACAGCTCACTGTACTGCTTGTCTGATGAGGCTGTGCATGTAGATCCCTTGGGGTAAGAGCAAACCTTAGGGTAAGCGCAAGCCTTCTCCCTTGAAATTTTTTTTTTTTCTCCCACACATTGGAGTGGTGCAGCCAGGCCTTCAAAAACGACGCTACCGGCCAGCAAGAGGTTCACTGCCACAAGGGCCCGTGCCATTTTGGTGCGGGCCCGTAGCGCCGCAAGCCATCGCAGTGAAGCTAAGTCAATATGCTGGGTCACCTCTTTCTTCCACTCCAAGGAGGTGGTGATGTCGGGAAGGAAGAATAGAGTTTCCGTTTGGCTCGAGTTGTGGAAGAGGGAGCAGGCTGTTTTAAGCCTGATGTAAGGAGATAAGCGGGAATTCAAAGAATTATGGCCAGGATATAAAACAGCCTGCTCCCTCTTCTACAACTCCAGCCAAACGGAAACTCTATTCTTCCTTCCCGACATCACCACCTCCTTGGAGTTGAAGAAAGAGGCGACCCAGCATATTGACTTAGGGCCAGGATACCCATTTGGAAGTCGTCAAAGGACAGTGGAGGGCGGAAAGGGAGGGGAATGTTGTTAGATGAGGGAAGTCATATGAAAGTGACAAGCAGGAAGGAAGCTGAGAAGGAGGTTGACTATCAGAAGCGAAACTTCGCTAAGTACTCTGCATGGATGGGAGGTATAAGCTGCTTGCCACGCCAAACACCCGGTTGCCTTATTTATTCTTTGCATCAGAATAGATTGGAGCCTTGTTTTCAAAAAAAAAAAAAAAAAAAAAACTTTGCCTCATATAATATTACTTTTATTAGTAATAACTATTGCTTTGGTTTGTAGTTTAGTTTTGATTAGTTATTCTTGGAGTGGAGAGATCCTCCAGTTATCCAAAATGATGTCCCCGTCTCCCTCCTTTCGAAGGGCACCGCAATTATTAACCCGCTCACTGACAAAGGAAAAACCGAACTAGGGATCTACTTTCCAAGTGCTTCAATGAGGGCGTGTTGCCCAACCAGACTGCTCCTGGAATAGTAGAATCCGGGGATGATTTTGTGAAAGTGACGGTGTCGGGCGCAATCGGTCCGGCACTGCACGGGGGCAGCGCGGGACCCTCCCGGCCGCGTCACGCAGGAGTTGGTTTTTACAACCCTTCGTCGCAAATATACATGGAGCTTCCACAAGCCGCTCCGGCCGGGTGCGCCAGCCATACCTCTTGGAGACCCTACGACAGGATAGGGCCTACGCGAGGCACGACTTACCTACACCTTACGGGAGCTGTCACCTCCCTTCGGTGGGCGTATCCCCGCCGAGCTACCAGTCCACAGTACGAAAGCTAATCAGCTG